GTTTTCGGCCTCCATTTCGGCGATCCGTTGGTCCAGACCTTTGATGTGCAGCTCTTTGGTCTCAGCGACCGATCGGGTCGACTCGATCCGCGAGTCCACATCCTGGTCGTGCACCATGGTCACTTTAGTTTGCGTCTCGTTCACCATGTGCATGTGCTGATCATAACTGTGACCACACTCGTGGCACTCTGTCTGCTCGGTAAATAAGCCCATAAGTGCTACATATGGTAATAATAACATGTCTAAAAATCCATATGATTCGCAATCGCTTGTGCTATATTCGTTGAACGCGTTGCATCTGAGCAAACCATCATTGCCCACGATGTTACCATCGCCAAAACTGAGGTAGCATGGCGAATGGCATTTGGTTTTATAATTAATGTGGGTTACGCCGTGGTTTGTCACCCGTTCAATACACTGCTCAGCGCTGCACACAGTCTCCGGCCGATCCAATGGTACGGATATGATCTCAACCGATGGGATGTCTAGTTTTGTACGCAACTCATCAATAGTTCCCATACACTCAATCACTTCAGTCCTATGTTTCTCGCATTGGTTAACGTTATCCGCGATATTCTTCGAGATGTCGGCCAACGGTTTGATTAGTAATTGTATGATTTGTTTGGTGTTATTCACCGATAGTGTGTCCATCACTTTGTGTGGTGTGAGTTGTATTATGTAATCAAATAATCGTTGACATTCCTCCACAGATCTAGTATTAAATCAGAATTAATTATTTATTTACAAAATGATAACAAAATCAAAATAATAATTAATAAACTATAATAGCACTAAATTGATAAAATATTTAAATTACCTACGTTTATTTTATAAGTGGTTCTAGCATTTATTGTGTGTTATTTTGTATAATATTTTTAAAACATATTTAATATGGATAATTTTATATACCTGTCCCAACTGTCAACATAACTGGACTTATATTTCGGGTCAAACTGTATATCATTTGGCGGAACCGAAGCCACGAGATATCGAAAGGACTCGGAATCGAAACAATAGGTTGTGTCCGCTGTATAAGGGATGTCAACATTTGGCGGATTTTCCCGGATTTGCTTTAATATTTTGATTAAAGCGGGACCGGATTCCCCGGGCATGTAATGAGTGGTTCGGGAGTTTGTGAACAGAAATAGTATATTATTTGCGGCGCTTTTATTCAAATGAGTGAACAATTGAAATATGCAATACTTGAACACAACGCCAACTCTCGATTCGTTTGGCTTTAAGAGCACACAAAAGGCGTTGATTTCCCGATAATTGCTAATAAAATTTAAAATGTTTTGCATATTTCTATTATCCCTCTCCACGCCATCCGTGTCCGCAATTCCCGGCGTATCGATAATATTGAGCGCAATCTTCTCGGTTTCAAACGTATAACACTTGGGATACTTTGTGGCCGATTGTGTCGGGTCTCTAGTATTTTCGTTGTCATTCTGATTACCCAGTGTTACCTTCACAGGGCTTCTTGTCTTTGGATCAGTTATGGAAAAGCTGACGGGTATTAAACATATGGGCCGTCCGTTCGCCGCATCCATACTTTCGAAAGACATATAGTTTACGAATGCGTTAATGAATGTGGACTTTCCCACACCTGATTCGCTCAACAATAGTATTGTTATCTCTTTTTTCTTAATTACAAATTGTAAAATAAATTATTGAAAATGAATATAAAGTATATTATATTTTACTTGTATATTTACATGCTATTTATCATATATGTTAAATTTTGTTAAGTATTTATATAATATACCTTGACGAGTGGCATTCTGGCCACTTCATCCTGATCACTAAACTGTTCGGCCATATTGGTTAAGCAGCAATTACCTAATGCAAATTTTTAATAATTTTATTAAAACTTAAATACAGTAAAATATTTGTAAAATTTACTATAAATTTATATAAAACATAATAGAGATTATCTATAATTTTAATTTAATCATAAAAAATTAATAAATGTTAATACAAATAGAAATTAAAATTCAATACTTACGGCATACAACTTAGTTTAACTGTAAAGCGGTCGCCGACTATTGTAGCCACAAATAGTGGACAATAAAAAACACACTTCGTACGCAATTTACAAATAACTATATTAGAAATATTAAAATAAGTGTTCACTTTGTGAGTGAAAAATAGACTGCGAAATATACATGAAGTGCAGTGACTATTTATAGGCATAATTGACATAAAGGTAATTAATAGGCAATTAGTGATTATATGCATATCGGATGCTATGAGGTGTTCGAAGGGAGTGCTGATTGGCCAGGGAGCCCAACAAACTCATCACGATCAGTGACTGGAATATTACCAAGAGTGTTAATATAAAGTTTACGAAAAAATAAAACAAGGATTACACAGCGATGCTATACGTTTACCACAATTAGGGTATTTCTCAAAGAATATATAGCCTCTCATTCTAAACCTCAATCACACTATTAATGACCGTTTTATTCACTGCTAATACAATCTATAAATTCAGTAACAAATTCCAAATATGTTGGAATGTAATCATAATATTTTTGGGACGAAATATACGAAAGTATATTATAAAAAGTCTTGTCTATTTTATTTTACATTTATGGATTATAATGTCAACGATACTAAATAAATCCTATTCAGGAGTAATCTATTCGTTAATCACAGTTCCTGTGGAGCATAGGATTGAAAGCATCGATCAATTGATTGAAAATCATAATAATATCAAAATCAAAAGCAAATTCTGGTTATCAATATTTATTGATAACTATATTTATTACAACTTTGTGTAGAATAATTTTAGTTAACAATTAAAAATTTAAATATATTATATATGGATATATTAATATTATAAATCTTTTTTATTTTGTCAAAAGTAATATGCATAATTTTTAAGAAGGGGGGGGGCCGAACGATTTTATAAACCACATTATTCGTAGCTATATTGTGGTTAAAAAATAATAAACTCCCTTGGTTGTCTGTTTTATAAATGTTATAAAATAAACCTATTTGCGTTTGAAAAAACTTTTGAAATAGTTGAAACCTTTATTCACTTGTGGCTTATATTGCACTCGATTGCAATCAGCGTTATGATTAACCTTGGCCTGTTTCTGTTGGTCCAACATGGTGCGAATTTCGGGGCCTTTATGTTTGAGCGAGCACAGTTGGTCGACGCGACTATCAATTTCCATGGGCGTAATGGCCGAACCCTCGGCTACGGTGACCGACCCGTCCATCACCTTTTGGATCAACTGTTTTTGCTCGTCGTATTGCTGTAACACCTGCTCGAGTCGTGCGATGGCTGTCCGGCTGTGGGCACCGGTAGTGACCAACTGTTCGTTGGCTATCAGATGCTCGACGTAATGCTTGAACGCGTCGTTTATAGGCGTCAGCGAATTGTTGGCCAGAAAACAGGCAAACATTGACATCGACTTAACAATTGTCTCGTTTTCGGTCTTCATTTCGACAATCCGTTGGTCCAGACGTTGGATCTGCAGCTCTTTGGCCTCAGCGGCCGATTGGGTCGACTCGATCGCTTTGTCCACCTCCTGGTCGCGCACCTTGGTCACTTTAGTCTGCGTATCGTTGAGCAGATGCAGGTGTTTGCTGTAACTGTGGCCACACTCCCGGCACATGTCCGACTCGGTAAAAACCTCCGCTACCTTTTCGATAGGTGCTATAACTAGGCGTTCCCACCACTGGCCGGTTGGTTCGCCCGGGTCACGATCGGTGCCACTGTACATACTAAACGCTTTGCATCGTTTTAAACCTTGGTTGCCAATAATGTCGCCATCGCCAAAGCTGAGGTAGCAGGGTGAATGGCATTTGGTTTTATAATTGATTATGGTTACGCCGTTGTTTGTGGTTCGTTCGCAGCACTCTTCGTGGCCGCACACAGTCTTGGGCCGACCGAACGGTACGGATATGATCTCAACCGACGGTATTTCCAGTTTTTTGCGCAACTCTTCAATCGTTCCCTTGTATTCATTCACTTCAATGATATGTCTCTCGCATTGCATTACGTTATCCGCGATATTCTTCGAGATGTCGGCCAACGGTTTGATTAATAATTGTATCATTTGTTTGGTGTTATTGAGCGATAGGGTGTCCATCACTTTGTGTGCCGGCAATTGTATTATGTAATCAAATAATCGTTGACATTCCTCTACGGATCTGTTGTGTAGTGTATTTTAAATTATATTAAACTATTTATTTAATAATTATAACAATAAACAAGTTTTTAAAAAAATTTATATACCTGTTTCAAATATTAAAATTATCATCTATGCTTATTCTATTGTATAGATTATTTATATTATTTATCATATAAGCGCTTATTAAATTTATCGTGTTATATTATTTAATACTTTTGAAAAATATTTTATATGAAAAACTTCATATACCTGTCCCAACTGTCAACGTAAGTGGACTTATATCGGGGGTCAAACTGTATATTATTTGGCGGAACTGAAGCCACGAGATATCGAAACGACTCGTTATCAAAACAATACGTTGTGTTCTCGTCATAAGGGATGTCAACATTTGGCGGATTTTCCCGGATTTGGTCCAAAATTTTGATCAAAGCGGGACCGGATTCCCCGGGCATGTAATGAGTGCTCCGGACGTTTGTGAATAGAAATAGTATATTATTTGCGGCGCTTTTATTCAAATGAGTGAACAATTGAAATATGCAATACTTGAACACAACTCCGAGTCTCGCTTCGTTAGACTTCAAAAGCACACAAAAAGCATTAATTTCTCGATAATTGCTAATAAAATTCAATATATTCTTCATATTTTCATTATCGCGATCCACACCATCCGTGTCCGCAATTCCCGGCGTATCGATTATATTGAGTACAAGATTATCAGTTTGAAAATTATAACATTTCGGGTATTGTGTGGCAGATTGTGTCGGGTCAGTCGTGTTTTCATTGAAATCCTGGTCACCCAATGTTACCTTCACAGGTCTTCTTGACTTTGGATTAGTCATTGTAAAGCTGGTGGGGATTATACATATGGGCCGTCCGTTCGCCGCATCCATACTCTCGAAAGACATATAGTTTACAATAGCGTTAATGAATGTTGACTTTCCCACACCTGACTCTCCCAATAAGAGTATTGTTAACTCTCTTTTCTGAATAAAATATTATTTATTATAGGATTAAATTATTTATCATAAGAAAATAAATTAATCTTTATGAATTCTTTATAATTTTATTAAATTTATATGTTATTTAGCATATACATGTACATATCATATACTTTACATATACATCATATTATATATTTATTTAAATTACCTTTACTGGTGGCATTGTGGTCATGTTGTCCTTATTAAAATTATCATCAAAATTGGCAACTTGGTTTTTACTGATATATTGGTTTTCATTCATATCATGCCTATCCATAATGCTTAAGGCATAACATAAGCGAGATCAAAATATTTTCATAGACAACTTTTCAAATGTAATGTCTTTATATACTATGGAAACCTGTAAACGAAAGAATTTTTTAAATAAAAATAAACAAACTATTTAGCGATATTATTGCAATACTTACGAGCAAATTACACGTAGGCAAATTTCATATGTAAATAAATACAGGTTATTTCAAAAAAGGTGCAGCATAATATCAATTAAAGTAGGCAATGTAGGCAATGCAGTGATAACGTGTGGAGTGTTTTTGTGTGAAATAGTAGAATAAATAAACAAATTTGAAAGGACTAAGTTCAATTTCAATGCATAAAATTTATGGTTAATGGTTAAAAATAGTAAATTAAATATATATATATTTATTTAATTTACAATAATAATTATCATTGTATTTATAATGAATATATGACTATAAATTAAAACCCCTAAGCCATAAATAAAGTTCAAAATTAATAGTGAATTTCTTAATTTTGGTATACTTATTGTCGATTACGTTGGAATTGGGAAATTCCTTCAGAATATTATTCCCCTATTCATAGAATACAAGATTTGATATTTAAATGTTTCCCAATAAAAGTTGATAATTTCTTTTACAAAAAATTAACAAAAAAATATAATAATTAAAATATTAACAAAATAACTTAGCGTTGAAATAATTAAACAAACTATTGATTAAATAGCCTATAGGCACACTTTATATGTTAAGATATATATCTGTTGTCTCAAATAGTAATAAGTATGAGCATAAACAAAATATTAAGTGATGATATAATGATTGTTACGTGCAAATATCACGTAGGCAAATTTAATACATTAATATATTTGACGCCTCAAATATTATTGAGTAAAATTAACAAAACTCACTGAAAAAGCTATCTAGTTAATTTTATATAAAAAAGCAATATTATACAGTGAACTTTCTATATAGTGTCCGAGCAGTTGGTAAGCTATTTTAACACTGTACAGAGTGATAACTATAGATTATTAATCACGTATCGCAAAACGGGCATATGCAAATTTATTAAAACTTTTATGCATATAATTCATTATTGATTTAATCAGATTTTATATAAATATTACTGTAATATAAATAAAGAATTAATTTAAACATTACTTTATTCAAAGAAAAGTTATTTTCAATCAGTTGTTTTAATTTGTAAGTAATACATAATGATAATATTGCATTTAATTTCAAAACATAAAATTATAATTTATGCATAAATAAAATACCTATAAACAGTACTTTATAATAAATGCGACAAAACTAGTCATCGTTATTTTAATTAAATATAATATGATGAAATGATATTATAAATCATTAGGCTCGATTGAAAAATATTTTAAATAAAAATATTTTGTTTTATTTTAATATTTTTATTTGAATATTATCAATAATATGATAATCTATTGGCATTAGGTTTGGGTTCTATATTTAAATTAATGTAATAAAACGTTGTGTTATTGTAATTGATTTTAAGTTTATTTTAAAAAAATCTAGAAATATATTATTTTATTGGTAGTAACATATTTGCACTATTATAAATAATAATAATAATAATTTTATTTAAGAATTTGCCTTATTATTAAAAGCAATACATTGTATTACAAATAATCGTTTGACAATTTAATATATTTGTTATAATTATTTTCGTTTCTTACAATCTTTGGTAAACTATTAAAAAGTTTTATTTAATAATAAAAATAATGTTTTTCTAAAAATTTAATACGAATAATATGTATTTTACAAAATGTTTAATTATTAAATGTACCATAATTATTATTGATTAAATATATTGTATTCAAAAGCTTAATAAAAAGTGTTTTGTATATTTTATTGATTAACTAATAAACATTATTCTCAAATAACTATTTATAAAATATAATATAGCTAAAACTTTATATATACATAAACATGAATTGTTATTATTTTTGATCACAAACAAACAAAAGGTATACCTTATTAATCAAACGATTTTTATTTATATGTACTCTTAATATGTATTAATAATTTTATTCAATTTAATTAATTATGTTTTTGCTTAATAATTAATAACAATGAAAATTGTATTGCAAGTTACAATAAATTGTTTATGATAATATTATATTTACAATTGGTAACTAACTTGTTGCGTTATAAGAAAATATTGTCAATTATTTACACATTTATAAGTGTAAATTAAAAATTTAATAATAATTAATAGAATAATTCTTTATAAAATAACAAATTAAACATGCTGATCTACATGTATATTACTTTTATCAGTCATTTGGATGTGTAATAATTAAGTCATAGATATTTATGTATTAACTTTGTAAGAATTCTTAATTATATAATTACACCTTATCATCATATTCTTATGTTAATTATATTTATTCTACTTGATAAAATCTAGTGTGGTTAAGTTAAATTCTTAAAAATATAGTAACAATTATGGAAAGTTTCAATGGTCAGAAATTGCGTGTTGCAACTAATCATGTAATAACATTTATCATTTATATCCGCCTGTATTATTAATTACTATTTAACAATTAGGAGCCACCTTATATATTTCTTAGACAAAATTCAAACACTTATTTATTTGACGGTGGATTTTATGTCACTTTACTGGAGACAATTGGCAAACACTTTAATATAAGCTATGATATTATTTATTGTAATCAAAGTTGGGGCTCAAAACCTGTAAACAATACATGGAATGGAATAATAAGCAAACTTACAACTATGGTAAAACTTTTTATTTATAATTTTAAAATCATGGTACATTTAATTATGTTTAAAGGAGGCCGACATATCATCGGGATTAATGATGACTGATTTAAGATACAATGCGATCGACTTCACTACACCCTATGATTTCAATGATCTTTCATTCACGTCTCCATTGCCGACGACAACCCATTTCCACAATTTGTTGCAACCCTTCGACAGTTATATTTGGCTCTCAATCCTAACCACAATCACACACTAATTGTTAAATAGTAATTAATAATACAGGCGGATATAAATGATAAATGTTATTACATGATTAGTTGCAACCCTTCGACAGTTATATTTGGCTCTCAATCCTAACCACAATCACACTATTCATTGCCATCATATTTACTGCTAATGCTATCTATAAAACCAATACTAAATACTCACTAATTTGGAATATATTTATTATATTTTTGGGGCAAAATATCAGTAAAAATATAACTAAAAATACTTTGTATTACTTGTTATTTCTATGGGTCATAATTTGTTTAATATTAGAAAAATCATATTCTGGTGTAATTTATTCGTTAATTACATTTCCTGTGGAGCATAGGATTGAAAGCATCGATCAATTGATTGAAAGTCATAATAATAATAAAATCAAACTAGTTGTGGAAAATGATTCTGGTTATCAATATTTACTGGTAATTATATTTATTTAAATTGTGTGCATTTATATTATTTTTATGTTAAAAATTAGAAATGTAAATATATGTTACATATTCAATAGGAAAATATTAAAAATCCTGCTGGAGAGCAAATATTTACATTTATAAAATCTGATGGCAGTAATTTATTTAACTATTTAAAACATTATAATAGTTTATATTCAGTTGTCTCCGATCGCGATATAATTAAATACAACTTAATTATTAAAAATATTACTGGTAATTATTTATCAAACATTTATGATCATAATAAATTATCATTATTCCCAGCGGCCATTGGTCTCCCAAAGCATTCACCTTTATTACAACCCTTAAATAAAATGTAATTTATTCAATAGTTTCCCAAATGTAACATGCATAATTTATTTAAATAATTACAAATAACAATTTTATTACAGTCTCTACAGTATTCGTAAATCTGATCTCTATTGCCATTGGATTAATAATTATTATTTTAATTTAACTAAACATCATTTTCGTAATAACAATATCTATTCTTATAACCATGCTAATTTTACATTCAAAACATATGGTTTTGTGTTTTGTAGTTTGATTTATGGCATTATATTTGCTATTATTACTTTATTTATTGAATTGGTATTGATTAAGTTTAGATAAAGTTTAGTTAAAGTTAAAATCTAGTTAGTTTAGTTATACTTAAAATAATTATTTACTTACTTATTAAATAAAAAATAACAATTAAGTTTTTATAAAATTATAACAATATTTTTCTAATAATACCGCAATAATTACTGTAATAATTAAATATTAGTACATTTAAACTTTATATCAGTACATTTTTAGCATTAAACACATAAATTAACATGGAAAATTTTATTAATAAAGTATACTAAACAGTAAATAAATATTGTATAACTTTTATATAAACAGATGTTTTGCACTTTTATCTACAAACATAATCTGTATTATATTTATAGTATATAAGGGAAGTAAGAATTGTACTTCAAAAACATTTTTGACAAAGTTGCATTATTAATTCCAATAATAAGCATAATATTAAACTGTTAATCTAAACCTTGCTTATTATGTCTGTATTAAAAACTACAAGTTATTAACAGTTAAACAATACTACATACTCTACTACAATGTAACTTTGTTTTCACTTATTTGCATTAATATGATTAAATAATCACGTGAATAGTGCTATATTAATAATTTATGTAAAAGTTAATATATAAAAAAGTTACCTTCAAAGGAAATACACTGAAAACGTGTACAAAAATCCCATATTCTGTTATATCCCTCACAATATTGTATTGAATAGTAAAAGTAAAACATAATTAATACCAAAAAAGCCTTGAAATTAGTGTATTTTATCGCTACTATTCAATGATAATAAGCGCTACAAAAACCATACATACTATGCATTGAATGTGTGATAAATATGTAATCAAACGTTTTTTTGCTGTGTATTTAACGTTACAATCATTTTGACTATTAATGTGTATATAATTATACTATTATAATTTTTGTATATATTTTTAATATGTAAACAACTAGACCGTTTTGTGTGTGTAGTTTACAAAAAGTTATATCTATTATTTATTTATTAGTTTAACAAATTATAATGTTTATCAAAAAGTTCAAGCGCTGCTTAAAAGGACTACGAAAAACTGGTGGCATATTATTTAATATACACCGCAAACACATAAGCGACAGAGTTTTATACACGTGTATTATCTGTTTCATACAGATGTCATATGTAAGTTTTAATTTAGCAGTGTAATTTTTAAATAACATTACTTAAATGTAAATTAATGTGTAAAAATCTAGATATTTTATTGTAAATTTAATAGCCATATTGCTAATTAATCAAATCCGGTTTGTAGTACAAGAAATAACATGTGATAATTAATTTAAAGATGTGTACAGTATTGTACAGTATGTGCACATCACACACTTTATGCAACGTCATATACTATTGCATTATGCTATTAAACAGCAAGGTCGCTCAATATTATTTGTAAATCTAATTAACTATTGTTATAAGAAAGTAGATGTGTGCAGGCATTTATAGTGAAATGACTCATAGTTTATTCATAGACAAAACACTTTATTGTTATATACAATTATAAGATTAAAATAAGGGTAGTTAATTAATATTATACATGTAATTTTTAATATACACTGTGTTTTTTGGCATATGGCCATATAACTTTATGTTGTTATTTTACGTAATGCTAATGAACTCACAAGTATAAGAATAATTATTACTGATATTATAACAATATTTATGCTGGTTAATATTTTGAATAGTAAATATAATATTTAATTATTTTATTTATTAAACTAAATAAAATGCACGAAAAAATTAATAAATATTTTACATTAATAAATTAATTAACTTATGAATTGTCAACTGTATTAGGGTTACAGCTGTTCGACATTTGGGCCCTCATTCGTAGACCTAAAACACATATTCAAAACATCAATGAACGAGATATCACTCGTCCCGACGCTAATGAGCTTTGGATATATGGTTGGCTCACTTTGTAAGCCTAATATATAAGACCACAACAAAACAGAAAACAACACAATAAAATAAAATTGACAAAAACAACACAATTAAGCTAAAATTAATTTTACATAAAACTAGATACAAATAAACACACTAAAAATTAGCAAAAATGATCTTTATATTGCAAAATAAAACATTAATAAATAGAAAAGAGTTAATTAAATAAAAATAAATAACCCTGGCACATTCCTAGGCGGTCTATTCATACAGCACCTAAACAAACGGTGGACAATGATGTTGGCACTGGTGCTAATGTCGGCGGCTGTCATAACCATCCCATACTCGGCACACATACCCCAACTGTACGCCTGTTTCTGGGCGTTTGGGTTCGGCTCCGGTGTATACGTGAACGTGAAGTACGTTTGGCTGATTGACATGTGGCAGGAGTCGAGCGCACCTATACTTCATTTGGCGGGCTTTATGTTTGGCATCGGACACACGTTCGGCCCATTCATTGAGAAACCCTACCTCACGGGTGACCAGTTTGCAGGGCTCACCC